TAAGAGCCATCCTTCTTAATTTGGTCAATTTGTGGCCGTTAATTGGTTCTTATGAATACGTCAGTGAGCAAATCAAAATCTCGTGGTAACTTTTCACTGCATAATTTTTTTCACCCGTAACACTAAAATCCATGATCTGCCAATTTTAGGTGGTGCTATTCTTAAATAAGTTGTACATAAGTAGCTCGATGTGTCACACATTAACTAGTGCTGAATTTTAATGAATTTCGACTTCAGCGATCTTAAGCGCAAGCTCTTACCACTTTTTATTCAAAATTTACCTTGCTACAGATGCTTTTGCTCGCTAGCCTTTCAGTAACACTTGTCCCCACTGATACCAGTTAGAAATGCATTTCGTAGTTTTATTAGTTGTCATTCCAAATGTGTAACACTTACCAAAGTACACGCATGTTAAGTTTGCTTTGCCAATGGTAACTTATCGAAATCGGGCGACTGATGCTATTGGTCAAAAAATAAATGCCTATCAGTGAGACGCGTTTTCGAACCTAACTAAACTTAATTTTAGCGAATGCATTAAAGGCCGAACAGAAATGAAAGATTAAAATTTGTTACCAGTGCCAGCCTCTTAGGATAAGTGCAAGCATTCCTCCTGACATCTTCGTCATTGAACACTATCACCCAACGAAATAAACTCATAAATTTTGCAAACTTTTAATTTCTTTTTACCGATTTTGCTGCAGATATGCACCATATTTATTGCAAGACGTCAAAGTGACCCTCAACCAACGCATTCCACTAGTTTGGCATGCATTATTTTCTGTACACCGAGATTCGCACACTTCAACTTCATGCAATTTTGTGTCAATACTTTTTTTTCTTGTTAACATGGCCGCATGGCCTCTGATTATTTTGTCAGCATTTACTTTGAAAAGCGACAGCAAACAATTTTATAACGGACATCGTTGATAATTTCCGTGCTCAGAGTGCATGAGACAAAATTGGTGTAATAAACTTCAAGGGAATATTCAGCGTCTACTCACATGTTACTTCATTATCAGTCATGAACTGCAATTGATGACATCTGAAGCTAAATATTGCTAGCACTTAAAAGGCTTTAAATTTATACTCCTGCTAATCATTTTCACCTCCATGTTTATGATTGCTCTTTTTAGTTGTTTCAGCTAAAGTTGTTCCTGGTTATAGAAAAGGTAATAAAATGAACATTTTGAATGTATTACATTTGAACTTTAAACACGATTCTGAAAGTAAATTAGGGACAAAGAGGTTATAAAACAAAATAACAAAAGAAGAATAGGATGACATGTAGAAAACTGTCAAACTTTGTAACCAAGCGAATCACTGAGATTGGAATCAAAAATAATCCGCTTCGATGTCACTTTACATGCACGTTAAGCCCTTTCTCTGACTGCGGCGCTGCGTGAAGACGCGTCTGTCGGGGCTGGCGCGTTTTGTTGCGCCAAGCCGACGCCCTGAGGAGATCTGGAGCATCCGAAGCGACGGAGGCTCAATCCCGGTGTGCTGCTGGTGTGTGCGGGAGTGTTCAAAGGCGTGTGCGTGACTAATGACGCCTGTTAAACCACAGCCTCGGTGAGCTCGTAAAAGTACACATGACTGAACGGCCAGATGAATTAAGCGGGTAGCGGGGAGTGGGGCGAGGAGGCACGTGCACAGGGACGTGTGAGCAGACAGACCCACGTGGCTGAGGAGACTGGGATTATGGTCGTAAATCAACACGATTCACTGCACGTTGCAATTACCAAAATTACTATAAATGAGTGTTACCAAACTTTTTTTATTGATATGAGCATTTTGGTTTGCTCCAACTGAACATTATCGACAGATGTCGGCGACAGTAATGGTCGAAATTACTGTGATAACTACTTTATAATTGAAAAGAAAAATATGGTCTCTTGACTAGTGCAAAATCATCTTTTAAACCTTAAGCCTAGCTGTAAATTACATCTACTGAAACCGTTATCAGTAGAATCTAAATATTCTATATTTTTCCCGAATTTATTCTTAAAAGCTGCTTTCGGTAACTTTCTAGTTAACGAGGCATAAATAAAATTGATGTTCAATCTTATTTATTCACACTTTCAATCAAATGCTAGACTAAAGTATTTTCACATTTGAATCGATAAGACCAAAATACATTTGTCTGATCGTGTTCCAACCTGTGTGTGATGTTAAGAATTCACTCAAAATTCACAAATGCTTAATGAAGGCACAGTAAAGGCACTAGAAACGGTGGCATAAGAATACCGGAACGCTTTGATATTGTTTGGAATTAGGCTAGATCTCTTAAATTTACTCAAGTTATAGGAACTTACATACCCTCATCCTTTAAACTGTGTAAATTGAATGCATTTTTCTAAGACCTATAATACAATGCTGATAATATACTAACAATTAATTATTTTTACGGTTCATGTCATTTCAAACAGGTCAGTTAATGCTATTTCTGAAACTTCTATGGCCAAAATTTGCACTGAAATAAAGAAATTTAAAAAAAATTCATGAAGGATTTCTTTTATCATCTCTGTGTGAAAACATTTACAACATGCACACCAAAATCCGGATTTGCGATGCAGTAATTCTTTTCAGTCTTGAATACCGTTAATAAACAAGTTGGACGATTTCAGTCATATCAAATTTGAATCGATTAAGTGGACAGCGGTTTAATTACACTACAACCTTGTGACTTGAAATTTAAAATCCCTTACCGGAATGCAATACGACTCTTAGCAGTTGGTCTTTGTTTTTATGCCTTTAAATGCTCAAGCAGGGCATGAACATGGGGAAATCGGAGTAGTGAGTTGTCAAAAGCACCGCAGTATTTGTGTTAGCAAATTTTGGAATGCATTTCTGTAAATCTAAATGAACCAGCAGGAATTACTAAAGTACGTTTTGAATGAATGCATTGGACTTATAAATCGTGAGTTATCGCAAAAATGAAAACTTTAGGCAACCAGGTCAGCTCGTGAAATGCACAGCTATCATGCATAAGACACATTGTAATCCATCTAAATTACAAAGCATTGGCGCATGTCAAGATTAAATATTTGTAGGAAAATTACAAAGATGGTATACATCAGATTCTAAATGTTCGTTGTACCTCAGACCACCATTTGCTCTCGTAAACGTTTTTCTGAATGGTCTATGCAAGCGTGGGAAAGTCAGTTGTTCAACCATTCACGTGCG